ACATACATTGTCTCTTTGTACGTTTGCTTGTGTATGCGCAGGGACATTGTGTTGGTGTGCGCGTGCCAGTGGTTTGGCAAAGAGCGCATGGGTCGTGAGGGCGAAGGTTGGGTATGACCCCTCGTGCAAGTAGGCAGAGGAAGAATTCAACAAGTACACGTACACAGAGCTGGCGCTGGAGACCAAGTTTGGGCTCATCGTGGAAGGATTTGGCTACCACTCCTTGAGGTGTTTGTTTGTGTGTGTGTGTGTGTTTGTTTGTGTGTGTTGCAGACGATTTCGGTCCTGTGCGTGGTCTCACCCACCTTCCATCTCCTGTCACCCCCTCTCATGCCTCATAGATCATGGCTGCGGGCGCCTTCCCGTCATTGTCGTCGATCACTACGTGCTGGTGCGTGTAGATGAATGACGCTTCGTGTGTGTGTGTGAGTGTGTGTGTGTGTGTGTTGTGTGTGTGTGTGTGTGTGTGTGTGTGTGTGTTTTGTGTGTCACATCACTGTGCGGATGTACCCCTCCCGTCGCTCATGGTGCTGTGACGTGATGTTGTGGTGTGTGCTTTTTGCGTGCTTGCAGCCCTACCAGGACCTGCTGGACTGGGAGACGTTCAGCATGCGCATTCCCGAGCACAGGCTCCTCGAGGTGTGGTGACAGATCGGAGACATGGGGATGTGAAGCGATGCGTGAGGGGTGATATGGTTTTTGATGGGGGTTTGTGGTTGGTGATGGCTTGTATGCCACGTCGCTCACACACACACACACACACACACACACACACACACACACACACACACACACACACACACACACACACACACACACACACACACACACACACAACTGTGTTCAGCTTCCGAGGATCCTGCGGTCGATCCCTGATGAGGTGGTGGAGATGATACAGAGACGCGTTGTGTTTGTGTTTGAGGATTTCTTCAAGTCCCTCTCCACCCACGTGCACACAGGTGAGGGAGTACGTTGTGTGGGACGGGAGTTGTGGAGTGAGTGTGGCGACGTTCGTGGTGTAGTGTGTGCGTTGCTTGCTTGTTCTCGTGTCCGTTCAACCACTCTCACCATCTGCCAACTCTTGTGTCTCGTCTGTGTTGTTTGCTGCTGTCAGCACACTGGAGTCTGCCAGGATCAACCTGTTCGGCGACAACGCGTGGCAGGTGTGTGTGTGTGTGTGTGTGTGTGTGTGTGTGTGTGTGTGTGTGTGTGTGTGTGTGTGTGTGTGTGTGTGTGTGTGTGTGTGTGTGTGTGTGTGTGCAGGGGATCGTGCGCAGGGGTGCGAATCAGCACGGTCACCTCACAACATCTCGCTGCCACCACCAACACCTTCATGGCGCACACGCACAAATGTTCGCAGGGGGAAGATGCAAGTGGAAGGGCTGGCGTACGGCACGCCCAATGACACGCCACACGATGTGATGCAGGAGTCTGTATGGTGCAACACCCCCGCTCACCGACGAAAGGCGGCCAAGGATAATGCACCCATGTGATGTGTTTGCGTGCGATGACGATGATAAGGATGAGGATGAGGAGAGGACGAAGATGTCTAACAGCGTAACCAAGATCAGCTCTGTCACTAGTTCATTAGTTCAGCCCACCTGTTTGTGGTTCCTCTGCGCCAGTACATGGAAGTAAACGCGTTGAGATGACACGATGTCAGCCAGGCAGTGTGTGTGTGTGTGTGTGTGTGTGTGTGTGAAGCAAAGCAACGCAAAAGACAAGCAACAAGAGAGAGGGAGATGAGCCAACACACGCCACCACTAAGTTGAAGCAAGCAAGTCAGCAAGCAAAGAAGAAGAGAAGAAGTAAACCGAACCAAGCAACAAGACAAGAGAGAAGAGAGGAGAGACAGCAAGCGCCACAGCAGCTACAGCACTCCATATGAAGAGAAAAAAAAAAAGGAAAAGAGCAACATCACCCGTGATTCCCGCCTGGTCACCCACGGCAGTACTGAACGGGCCCAAACGGGCTTAGCTTCCGCGATCGGACGAGAGCGGGCGTGATCCCGTTGGTATGAACGTTGCCAATAACCGGTAAAGACAAGCAATTTATCAAGGCAGAGCCAGCAAGCCAGCAAGCAAGAAGAAGAGGAAGAGGAAAATCGCACACACACCAAAAACCACCAGCAGCAAGCAGAAGAAACGAGCAAACAACCGATTCTGCATTCCAACCAATCAACCAACCAATCCTCCACTCGCCGTTGCTTCATTCTTCTTCTTCTTCTGCGCAGCTGGTGTGTGATGGTGATGGTGGTGGGAATGGTGATGGTGATCATGGTCGTCGTCGTCGCTGACAGGCAGGTGAGGGGAGGTGGGGTGAGGTGAGGTGAGGTGAGTGAATGTGTCATTGGTTCGCGCACACACACGCACACATTGGTGGTTGTGCGTGCCACGTTCCTTCCTTACTTCCCTTCCTTCCTTCTCTTCCCTTCGTCGTCCTTCTCGCTGACGCATTCACACATACACACACACACATACATGTGCAGGGAGGGTGTGCGCACCGTCTCTCCCCTTTCTCCCATCCATCCATCCTTCCTTCCTTCCACCGTTGTGCATTTCCTCCTCCTGTGATGAACCACGCACAACCAACCAACCAGCCAACGACCACATGAATGACCCATCCATCGACAGGTGAGGGTGAGATTGAATGCTTCCACTTCCTCCTCTCACTCCGTGCTCCTCCTCTTCCCCTTCTTCCCCTTGCACACTGCGCACAGAAGCAAACAACCACCCCCATCAACAACAACACCACAGTTCACGCTGTCATCGTGCACACACACACACAGGTGGACCACCATCAATCCATCCTCGCATGGGTGGTTGGATCACATACCAACTCATACCACTGCGTGTGGCACTCACAAATGCACACACACACACACACACTTGCTCACCGTTGTGTGGTGACAGAACAACTGCCATCAGCCACCGTCATGCAGCGGCGACCCTGAGAATGGATCATGCAACCTCTCAACCAGTGAGCAGCACACACATGTGAAAGAGGGGGAAATGACATCAACCACCATCACAGCCAATGTGTGTGTGTGTGTGTGTGCATGGGGTTGTGTTTCTGCCCATCCTCCTCCTGCTTTCTTCTCCTTCTGTCTGTGCCACGCTGCTCACTGCTGCTGGTATTGTTGCTTGTTTGTTTGTGCTGCTACTGCCGTTGTTGCTTGTTTGTTTGTGGTGGTGCGTGCAGATGAATGTATTCCATCATCATCATCAGCAGCAGCAGCAGCAGGTGCTGGCTGATGCATGAGGCAGTGGGCGACCCCCACCAAGACAGGTGTGCATGTGTGTGTGTGTGTCGACGTGCGTGTTCTCTTCTCCACCCATCCACACGCCATCATTACCACCTCTCGTGTTCTTGTGTCTTGCTCACATCCTTCCCTTCCCACCTTCAACACCACCCTCAACACCATCCTCCACACGTGCTCGTTTCCCCTTCCTTCTTTCTGCTGTCGCCACACATAGGCCCTTGAGCTAGCAGCTGTCACCCCTCCCCCTCCACCAACCACCACTGCTGTGGTGGGATGAACAGACGGGCGCTGCCATGTGATGACCATCCAGCCACGCTTGTGCGGCTGTGGAAACAGCAACACCAACTCACACCGCAAAGCAAGCAAGCGATGAGCAACGTGAGTGCATCACTGCATGTGTGTGTGTGTATGCTGCGCACCGCACCAGTGTGCGTGTTTTGTGGTCGCTGTCTCTGCTGCTCCTGTCTCCCCTTGTTGTCCCACATCAATGTGCATGCATGTGTGTGGTGTGGCTGCCTGTATTGTTGCTTTGCTTGGTGCGCTGTCTCACTCGTCGTTCTCACGCACAACTGCTTACACACCTGCACATTCCCCACCTTGCAGCTGCTGCTTATCTTCCCCTCTCTTTCTCGCCCTCCCTGATGGCCATCACAACAACAACAACAGCAGCAGCAGCCAACACACCCTCCACCGCCGATGCAGCAGCAGCAGCAGAGAATGCACCACCACCATCACTTGCTGCTGAACACATCCCCCAACCAACCAACCCATCGCCCACTGCTGCTGGAGCTGGCTGGCTGTTTGCAGCTGGGAACAGGTAGCGACAGCACAAGTTGCGTTTTCGGCTGGAAGCAGCAAGCAGAGGTGAGGGCGTGAAGAAGAGGGAACACGAAGAGGAGATGTGTGTTGGCTGGATGGATGGATGGATGGATGAGGTGGGGTGGGGGATGCTGGGTGAGTGTCGTGTGGTGTGGTGTGGCTGGCTGGCTGATGACAGAGGACGATGGTGTGTGAGGAAGAGGGATGGATGGATGGGGGGGGGTGCAGCATGTCTTGTTCCTTCCCTTTTGTTTTCTGTTTTCTCTCTCTTCCCTTTCTTCTTCACACACATGCTTGCACAACATCAGCAGTGGCAGCAGCAGTGTGGCTGCGCACATATCCATGCTCCCTTCCTCCCTCCCACTCACTCATTTACCATGCTGGTGCTCGCACACAAATACATTTACAGGTGATGCACACGCACAGACAGGATGATGGAAATGTCAAGGATACTTGCCACGCGTGCCAGCTGCACTCGCCTCACACATGGTATGTGGGTGGTGATGAGTGGTTGGTTGGTTGTGTGATGGGGCTGTGGTGATGGGGTGCGATGAAGCGAACAAGTGGAAGAAGGGTTGATGGGGAATGATCGCACACACCGACACACACACACATACACGCACACACACACACGTGGTGCGTGTGACGTCAATCACTCTTTCTGCTGTGCTGTCATGATGGCTTGCTCTGTGCATGTTGTGTTCTGTTCCCAACCACGCCCCCCGCAACCACGCACATACACACACACACACATATGCACAGGTGGTGAGGTACCAGCACACATCAGGATGGTAATGATGGAAGCGGGCTCGCATGCCGGCTGCTGCTGCAACTCCCCCGATTTCGGCTGCCACTGCTGTGCTCATGCAGTGTTAACCATATGCGTGAGCAAGGTGAGCCCATCATGCAATGCTTTGGT